GCCCGTTGCTTACCCTTTCGGTACGGAACCCTAACAAAAGGAATAAATTCCCCTTACAGTCATTCTTAAAATAATTATGATTAGATGAAAGACCACCAAACGGTAGTACTGCACGGTATACTACATGAATCTTACAACTTTTTATAACTAAATCATTTAATAATAGTAATATAAATATGGATATAAATTCAATAATAGTACCCATTAAAGAATTATCTGACTCTGTAACAACGTATTTTATTTTTATTATTGTTTTCGTTCATATATGGGACCGGAAACAGGAATAAAATCATGACATCCTATATTGTTTACGAGTATCAGAAATGTCAAAACAGAAATAATTATACGTAAATTCTGTTTCATATGTGTTGATTTATATGCCATTATGAGTTGCATCGTTAGTGAAATTCAATATTAATTATATTATTTATAATTCAAAATTAAATTATTGGATTGCAGAAACGAAAAGCCTAAAACTGAGCATTATTCTGCAGCAGTATTGCTGTAGTGTTGTCATTCTGTCGGCGCCACTAACAACTAATAAGCCTACGAACGGTAAGCAATGTTATTTTATTCCAACGACTAATTTATCATACGGTTAAGTGTAGGGCGGCCCCACAGGGAGGCCCATCGAGGTGGAGTGACCTGCTAAGTTAAACGGTAAAGTAAAAAAGCTCAACAAATATTGGTACCTACCCCACGAATGAAATGACGCACAGCGAGACGCCCTTGCGAACGGAGAGTGCTTACAGATTGCTTACAGAAAGTAGGGAATTTTGAATATTCGATAATCGCAAGTGTTCATCACAATGGTGTAAGATTGTGGTGCCCAAGCCAAACAGTGCCCGAGACGAAAGATTAGCCAGGATAATTTTTAACAGTGGCAGAGCCAAGCGGCAGCTTTTGCTGTCGCACGGATGGGCCGGCTCGAACCGGGGTGGTACCAAGACCTCACAGGCTCACGACTGCTCAGGCTACCCCGCGTATTCTAGGCGGGGGGGCAAAATTCCGCTCGCGACTTATACTGCTCGGGGCAAGCGGAGCAATAAGACCAAGGCGACCCCTAGCTTTTACGCTATCCGTGAATTTTTGCAATATCAGGGGACTTCATTCCAACCTTAACACTGTCCATTACCTTCTAGAGATGGCGAAGCCGGCCTTGCTCTTTTTAACCGAGACTCAGGTGTCCTCTCCGACTGATACTTCATATCTCTCCTACCCGGGGTACAAATTTGAACACTCCTTTGTGCCCCGGGCTGGAGTTTGCGTACACGTCAGAGAGAACATCTGTTTTCGATGCCTCAGCAGTCTTGAAGGTACGGACCTGTCCATCCTATGACTGCGCGTAGACAGCGACGACCATCCCAGCGTCTACGGGTGCCTCTATAGGTCCCATGGCGGTAATGCCGACACAGACCGACTCATCGACCACGTTCAAATGACTGCAGACTCCGTGCTACAACAGGTCCCATCCGCAGATATCGTGATACTCGGTGATTTTTACGCCCACCACGCTGAATGGCTTGGTTCCCGTTTAACCGATCATGCGGGTAGATCTGTCTATGACTTTGCCTTGGCATATGGTCTAACACAACTGGTTACTTCGCCTACGCGGATCCCAGATGTGGAGGATCATGTACCTTCCCTGTTGGACCTTCTGCTGACCTCTCATTCGGACGGATATCAGGTCTCCGTCGATGCCCCTCTGGGCTCTTCGGACCATTGTCTGATCCGGAGTACAGTGCCCCTCACGCTCCCATCGCAGTTGCGATCTGCAGCTTACCGCCGTGTTTGGCACTATAGGTCAGCCGATTGGGACGGGATGCGGTCTTTTTTTGCATCCTACCCTTGGGGGCGGGTTTGCTTCTCGCCGGAAGATCCCAGCGTTGTTGCCGATTCTGTTGCTGATGTGGTACTTCAGGGTATGGAACTTTTTATTCCATCCTCTGTGGTGCCCATTGGAGACAGATTCCAGCCTTGGTTTGGTCGATCCTGTAAGAATGCATTACGCAGTAAGCAGGAGTGCTATCAGGCCTGGGCTGAGGCTTCGGCGGCTCGGGATGTAAACACCAGCATGCCTTAAAAGAAGTATAACTTCGCCCCCAGGTCCTTCAAAAGAGTTATTGCCAAGGCAAAGTTAGGGCACATAGGCAGAATTGGCGAGAAACTAGTTCGCCTCCCTTCGGGAACACGTGCATTCTGGTCTCTCGCCAAGGCTATCTAAGGGAACTTCTGTCAGCCATCTCTACCATCTCTGCACAGGGTGGACGACTCACTGGCCCATGACGCAAAGGAGAAAACCGATCGGCTAGGCTCTCTTTTTGCTTCCAACTCGACTCTAGATGACGGGGGGAACACACCGCCGACCATCCCGCGGTGTGAGTGCTCCATGCGGGAAGTGCTGTTTACACAGCGCTTGGTGCGTAAAGCACTCCCCTCCCTGGATGTCAACAAGTCGAGTGGGCCTGATGGAGTCCCGCCTATTGTGCTGAAGACGTGTGCTCCGGAGTTGGCACCGGTTTTAACGCGTCTTTTTCGGTACTCCTACTCCCTAGGCGTAGTCCCAAACTCATGGAAGACAGCTTTGGTGCACCCGATCCCTAAAAAAGGCGACCGCTCAGATCCGTCCAACTACAGGCCTATCGCTATCACCTCCTTGTTCTCCAAAGTAATGGAAACGATTATTAACAGCCAACTCTTGCGGTACCTTGAGGATCACCAGCTGATTAGTGACCGCCAGTACGGTTTCCGTCGAGGTCGCTCAGCTGGTGATCTTCTGGTCTACCTGACTCATAGATGGGCGGAGGCAGAGGAGTCCAAGGGGGAGGCGTTGGCCGTTAGTTTGGACATAGCGAAGGCTTTCGATCGGGTTTGGCACAAAGCGCTTCTTTCGAAGCTGCCTTCCTACGGGCTTCCCGAGAAATTGTGCAATTGGATCACCAGTTTTCTTGCAGATCGGAGCATCAAGGTCGTAGTAGACGGTGCATGCTCCGATTACAAGCCTATTAACGCTGGTGTTCCACAAGGCTGCGTGCTATCACCAACGCCGTTTCTTCTGCATATCAATGATATGTTGCAAACCAGTAACATTCATTGCTATGCAGACGACAGCACTGGTGATGCTTTATACAGCAACCGTGCCAATATTTCTCGGGAAAACGTCGCCGAGTACCGAAACAAACTTGAAGTCTAGACTTTGTTGAACAAAGTCTCAGACTGGGGGCGACTAAATCTAGTCCAGTTCAATCCCAAGACACAAATTTACGCGTTTACCGCTAAAAAGAATCCCTTTATCGTATCTTTTCAGTTTCAAGACACTCCCCTTGTCGCCTCAGCCAGTATCGGTATCCTAGGAGTCGACATATCGAGTGACGTACAGTTTCGTGGTCACTTGGAAGAGAAGGCCAAATTGGCCTCTAAAAAGCTTGGCGTGCTCAGCAGAGCGGGACAGTATTTCACGCGGGCGCACCGCCTGCAACTTTACAAGGCGTAGGTTCGGCCTCACATGGAATACTGTTCCCATCTCTGGGCGGGGGCTCCCCAGTGCCAGCTCCTTCCACTTGACCGCATCCAGCGCAGAGCGGTTCGAATCGTCGACGACCGAGTTCTTTCTGATCGGCTTGACTCACTGGCACTGCGTAGAGATGTTGCATCTCTTTGCGTATTTTATCGCATCTACCACGGGGAGTGCTCTGAGGAATTGTTCGGACTAATTCCAGCCGCTCAATTTCACTATCGCACATCGCGACAAAACTCGCGATACCATCCATATCATCTGGATGATTGGCGGTCCACCACTGTGCGATTCAGAAGAAGTTTTCTCCCTCGCACAACTTCCTTGTGGAATCGATTACCACCAGCGATTTTTCCGGACCGATACGACTTAGGGACCTTCAAGAAAAGAGCTTACTCCTTTTTAAAAGGCCGGCAACGCATCTGCAAGGGTTATAGTCAAGGATTGCAAATGATCGTGGAGAAGCTGGCCCTCAAAGAACTCCAATTAGTGGACAGCTCTTTGCTGTTGCTTCTTTATGATATCGCCCGGTCGCTTACTTTTTTATATGAGTAAGAGTGACAAGCGAGCACACAGTCCACTTGATGGTAAGACGATGCGGTGGCCCATAGAAATCTATATCTATCAGATCAGAATGCAGACGCGTTGTTACCCCTAAGGACTAAGGTCCGAAGACGAGTTTTATGCTCAGAGCCGGTCAGACAGCACTGCACTCACCATATGAAACACAGCAGCATTATTCTGCTATTTCATGCTGGTATTCTGTAAGAGCGTGTTCCTAGACGGTCCAGCCGACATCATTTATAGCCGCAGCTATGGTTTTATTGCAGCTTAGCTCAACTACGTCAAAATCTTTAGCACTAACAGGCGTTGGCAAAATTATAACTGCTATAAATCTAAACATCTGTCCTTCGTCACCGGCCATATTTTCCAAACCTTGTACTAACAGACTTTCAATTTTCCGAAGTTTAGGTAACTTTTTGAAAGGCAATAATTTCAAACCCGAAGAAGCCTTTTTTATAGGATAGGGTGACAAACGAGCACACAGTCCACCTGATGGTAAGTGGTTGGTGTGACCCATAGACATCTTCATTTATCCTCAACAAAGAATCAAAATGCAGATGCGTCGTCACCCGTGAGGACTAAGATGGAATGCCTCTTTTCCAGTAAAATGGGTCTCCAGTTCTCTACACTCACCATACGAAACACAGCAGTGCCAAGCTGCCATTTTACGCTGCCATTTTAGCCTGTTGTAAGAAGTAAACACCAGTAAAGAGTTCAACGGTTCTTATGAAGCCTACTTTTATAACAATGGCATCAACAAACTGACCATAAAATGGCAGGAATGCGGTGTTTAGTGTCGTATAATACTTTCTTGGGCATTTAGTAAGAAGCTGTTATTTTGACATTACAAACAGACACTTCAATTTCATTTATTTGTATAGATTCAATAGTTATGCATACAAATTAATATAACATTACGTACCATGGAGCTTTTGACATTATATTCTGCGTCACGCCACCATTCTTGCTTGTCTCGACAGAAGCCATTTTAATATCTGGAAAAGGGAGAGACTATTTTATAATTCATTGAATTCAGCCCATTAAACTAAAGCTGAATAGGACCTCCCCAAAACATTGTTTCACAAAGGGAACACTGAGGGCATCCACGACTTTTTCTGCCACCAGGGCGGCGCCACTAAAAAGTGAGGTATAATATTTGACTGATTTGATAGCGGGGAAGTTAATTTGTTCGGAAAATGTAAAGGTTATTGTATCTTTCTGCACTACAAGCTATATTTTATATTAATACTATTGAAAATAAATAAACCAAACCAAAGATATTCATAGAGGTAGATAAATTTAAAAAAAAGTTAAAAATATGCAAAAAATTAAAGAGCAAACCACTGAAGCATTGTTTTGTGTATTAATTTAATGCTTTAGAAACAGATAAACTTTTTTTTATAGGATAACGGTGACAAACGAGCACACAGTCCACCTGATGGTAAGTGGTTGCTGCGGCCCATATACATTTACATCTATCCTCTATTACAAATTAAAATGCAGATGCGTTGTCATCCATGAGGACTAAGAAGGAAAGCCTCATTTCCAGTAAAAATGGTCTGCGGTTCTCTACACTCACCATACGAAACACAGCAGCGTTAAGCTGCTATTTTACGCTGGTATTCTGTGAGAGCGTGGTCCTTCCTCGGTCGAGCCGACCCATTCGTGCTACAACTATACAACTAATATAGCTGCAGCGTGGCTCTACCACGTATAAATTTTATTAGAAATCAACTTCTCAATTAAATTACATTGTGTAACAAAAAACTTTACCTCAGTGTCAACTAGCGACATCTGGTGAGCAGAAAATTATAAGCCCTCATTGTCACGCTTATCAGGCGTGTTGACAACTGCATTTTTTGTATCATTTTGAACTGTTATCATAAAGATGATGCTGCTTATCTCCCGTTTCATTTACCTCTGTGATCTCTTACTACACCCACGTACGGTATGGGGCAGTGGATTTTCTTACACCACACGACTACTCAGCGATTTTGTAATTAAGTTAATGTGATGCTTACGATTCAATGTTGGTTTCGATTTCAACACTACAAGCTTACTTGCAGAACTAATCTTTATCATTTATTTTTTACTTCGTTTAATAAAAACTTTACCCCCACACTAGGATTTATGTATAGTGAAAGCAGTTTAAAAACATAAATTGCACAGGGACAGGCATTCGGACCCGGAACAATTATTTGTAGGTCAAACAAATACTTGTTCCGTGCGGGATTCGGACCCGCGGCCTCTAGTGTTGCAACTCGTTGCTAAGCTACTGCGCCACGGAGCCGTCAGAAAAGATAAGGGAAAGGGAAAAGAAGAGGAATGGGAAAGGAGGTATCGAAAAACAAGATTCGAGTTACGGTTAACCGTTATCACCGCCGTTACTCACATCCGGCTGATTTTATCACAGTAAAATTCTTATTGCTAGATTATAATTTATAATAAATAAAAAAATAAAAAATAACTTCTAACACGTTATAGTAAGTAAAAGGACACACGTATTAAGAAAAAGTCCAATGGTTAAAACAGCAATTAAAAATCCCGACTGCGTAAGAAAGTTTACTGAAAACATAAAAATTCTAAACCCTATCTCACTTCCGCAACAATAAGTTAACGCAATAAGACAAATCTTACAACTTTATTAAGTACTAGCTGTGCCCCGCGGTTTCACCCGCGTATATCACGCATCTGCGCCTTGCGACATGCGAACTTCGAGAGAGACATCACGACGGACGGTTGCTGAATTAACAAAGATTTAAAAAGTGAGATATGTTACTAAAATTACATGGTTAACGTAATTGGTGGTTATACATGATACAGGTACTGATACGAATAATGTCTAGACCACATTATTCGTATCAGTACGTTTTAGTAGTATTTGTACCGGCGTTACTATTTCACAATTTAACATGAAAAAGTAGTTATTGTGACATAACTGTAATAGTTAAACATATGGTATCGCAGACTTTTTTGTAGAGATTAATATCCTCTATAAAAGTGAAGTACATTACTTTGCTCTATTATCAATAGTTTCCGAAGCGTACGCGATATAAGATTCTTTTTTGGTATTTTTTTCACACCTTGGGTTACATTACCGAAGTTTTCATACGGATCCCTAACTTTTTTGAAAATATTACATAGCCTATGTTCATCAGGGATAATGTAGGATTCTAATGGTGAAAGAATTTTCAAATCGGCCCAGTAGTTTCGGAGCCTATTCAATTCAAACAAACAAACAAACAAATCTTTCCTCTTTATAATAGTAGTGTAGATGATGATGATGATGATGATGATGACGATAAAATTCAAGAAATGCACGCTTGCCTAAACGATTTGATGAGAGGCCTACATACATCTATACAAATAAATAAAATTGAAGTGTCTGTTCGTAATAACAAAATAACAGATATGTTATTTTGTTATAACAGACAGGCTAATCCCCGAAATGGCAGAACCAATTTGAACGGGATTTTCACTGGCTGATAGCTGATGTTATAAGGAGTAACTTAGGCTACTTTTATTTCAGATAAAGAGTTAGGTTTCCGCGTAAAAAAAAATGAAGACCCAAAAAATCCAATCGCAATAAAATCCAATCGTATTAAATTACACGCAGGCGAAGTCGCGGGGAACAGCCAGTACATACATATAAACAAATGTGGTGCCTCAACGGAGACTAGCCGTCGGCGCAGAACAGGATTATAGTGCCCAAGTGTATACACGCAAGTACAGGTGCACGCTGTATTCCCTCACTCTCATAGTCCGATGGAACGGTAAACCGACACGACCGGAGAGAGATTGGGCGCAGGAGCAACGGCTTTACGTGCTTTCACCGAGACCGAGACACAACCCACTTCCTGACTCCGGGTAGCTAGTGAGAATTTCTTGACGGCAAAACTCAATAAATGTTTTTTTGGCCCGACCCGGGATTCGAACCTTTCGAAACGATTCAGCAGTCGCGTTTACAACCACTAAACCAACGAGGAAGTCACACATACATATACATACACTCACATAGTACATATACATACACTCACAATAGTCACACATACATACATATACATACACTCAAAAAGACATTACTCCCCTTCTGTGGTAGATGGTTAAAAAAACATTGTCGTCGCTTGCGACTACGTTCGCCATTTAGCGGCGGACATTTGAAGACTTCTCAATGTCTGATTAGATATTGTTTAGCATTATTTTAGCAAATGCAGAAATATAAACAATGAACCAGTATTATTTGAATTGTCAAATCAAATGCTAATTGCGGTTGGTATTAAATTTAAAAACTTCCATAAATATATATATATGCAATTTTAGAAGCAAACACTAGATTTCAGTTGACTTAAAAATTAGTTTCTCGATACGACTATACGTTTTGTTTTTGTATGATATCTTTGTCAATTTTGAATCGATTGTGTCGATTCTTTTTTATTAAATAGTCAAAACTTCGTAACGACCCTATATAAATTTGTAGAAATTTCACATCCATCTGAGCGGGAAAAAAGGAGAATGAAGTTTTTAATATAACTATTTGAACACTATCAGGCGACCGAAAGTGCTGCTAGGAAATGTAAATCAGGAAGAGTTAGAGCCACAACTGTTCATGAAGACCGGTACATCAGGTTAACTGCCAGTCGTGAGCGTACCATAATTGCCCGAGCCTTACACTCGGTTAAGACAATCTGCTGGTGAGTGCCGACAATGAGTTAGTGATAAGATTCGTAATCGGACCATTCGAAATCAACTCTACGAAAAATTTACTTTCAATATGTAGTAGTGTTGCCCAAAATGGGTCTTGTTCTTGATTTTAGCAATACCAAGACCAAGACCGCCTAATTTTAGCAAGACCAAGACCAAGACTGGCTAAGTCTCGTCTTATTCTTGCATTTGGGCAACACTAATATGTAGTAATAGGCGACTTCAAATAACTATAAACAATATAATTAATAGAATCAGGCGTTACTTTGCGGAAATCCATTATATAAAAGCTTTTAGAAAAATTTACTTCGCAAATATCCGCGTTATAAAATAAAATGATGTGGTCTTACCTAGTATGAAGAGCAGGTTAAAGTTCCGACCTCAGAATGTGAAATTGTTTTATTCTTTTTGGTTAATTGAAGTCTTTTACTTTTAATAAAATTCATCTTTTACCCTTTTGAGTTCGATTAAAAACTTCATTCCCTTTTTTTCCACCCTTGGGGGAGATTTTTCGAAGTTATACATTTTTGAGGCGTTTGGGAAAAATGATGAGAGTGAATTTTTTACGATGCGCGCGCACACCGACACATAAAAACGACACCATGAAGTTGTTACGATGCGCACGCACACTTTGATACCTAAAAGCGACAACTTTAGTGGGTAATTGTCTCTCAAATATTTTTTTTTCTTATGTTAAGGAAGTATAATTATATATAGTATACACACACTTTTTTTACTCCATATCTATGTGGGACCACCGCTGAAGTATAAGCTATTTAATTTAAAAAATTATCATCAAACTCAGTTCATAATTGACGAACATATTGTGTCATCGTGCTACACGTATATGCAATTAGGCTACTGACGCTTTATATTAATTGTATAGTTGTAGCATGAATGGGTTGGCTCGACCGGAGAAGGACCAAGCTCTCACAGAATACCAGCGTAAAATAGGAACTTAATGCTGCTGTGTTTAGTATGGCGAGTGTAGAGAACCGGAGACCTTTTTTACTGGAAAAGAGGCATTCCATATTAGTCCTTATGGCTGACAACGCATCTGCATTTTGATTCGCAAACGAGGATAGATGTAGATGTATATGGGCCACAGCAATCACTTACCATCAGGTGGACTGTGTACTCGTTTGTCACCCTTATTCTATAAACAAAACTCTAAACACATCAATGTATGTTATCACATTGTTACGAGTAACACATAATGTAATACGTCTTTACTTGTATTCGTTGATTATTGCTTAAATTAAGAATTAGTGTTTTATGTCGTTTTT